GTGTGTGTGTGTGTGTGTGTGTGTGTGATGTACATGCACAAACCATGGCATATGTGGAAGTCAGAAGACAACTTTTGGGGGTCAGATCCCTCTTTCCATCATGTCGGTTCTAGAGGAGGAACTTAGGTCATCAGGCTTTCGGGCAAGTGTCTTTACCTGGCTCTGAAAACTTTGAGTTCTACTTTTAGAGATGTTTTGGTGTAGCTCAATGCTATAGCACTTGCTTCTCACATGTGAGGTCTTGGGTTCAATCCACACCCCCTCCCCGCCTAATTTCCCACCTGTGTAAGTTTAATGCCATTTTCTCATCCCTGCATAGCATTGTTTCCTTCAGGCTCCTCTCTTCCGAGCTATAGACCAGGCAAAAATAAACACTGTGGTTCTCTTCCACAGCCAGGAGTCATACCCCACGTAAAACAAACGGTTGGTAAAACTCCAGACCCAACAGGGATGGGACACTCAGCGGCTCTCCTTCATGTGGAGAAGAGGGGAAATGGGTTATTGTAAAGTGGGGAACAATATTAGCTGATGTCTGGAAATGTCACAACGATTAACATGAAATGTTGAACTCACTTGAAATCAGTGTTCTGATGGTGTGACTCCCAAATGCTCTCTGCACCGCATTGTACACCAGGACTAAGAAAACAGCCTCACGTGTTTTACAACACTGCCCTCTTCCCCAGCCGACCCTGTGTGTTTTCCAAAGCCCTTAAGTCTGCCACTTTCAGCATCCCTACTTCTGTAGATTTATAGTGTGTTGCTAATATTACTGCTTTGCCTGCCTCCACCCCTCCCACCCCAAGTATCTTAGGCATTGTAAGTAACACATTTCCACATAAGAGTGCTGAAAAATCTAAAAGCAAAATCTCCCAACCAGAAGAACTGTAGGTAAAGTTCTTACTCCCAGCCTGAGCTTGTATCCAGCGGGCCATGAATACCAATGGGGAGGGTGGAGTAGGGGAACTAAGGAACTGCAAAGACAAGGAAAGGGTACTTTCCAGAGGAGAACAGCCTGTTTCCACTGACATGATCCGCAACATGACTGGCGCCACATAGCTCTGACCATAAGAGAACTTTCCTACTTTGTCAGCTTGGGCTACAGAGATACAGTCTAGAGGAAAGTCTTCCCAACAATTGAAGGCAAGATACAGGCTACAGGAGGGTCTTCCCATCAGTTGAAGGTGGGACACAGGCTACAGGAAGGCCTTCCCATCAGTTGAAGGTGGGACACAGGCTACAGGAAGGCCTTCCCATCAGTTGAAGGTGGGACACAGGCTACAAGAAGGCCTTCCCATCAGTTGAAGGTGAGATACTGGCTACAGGAGGGTCTTCCCATCAGTTGAAGATGAGATACAGGATACAGGAGGGTCTTCCCATCAGTTGAAGGTGAGACACAGGCTACAGGAGGGTCTTCCCATCAGTTGAAGATGAGATACAGGATACAGGAGGGTCTTCCCATCAGTTGAAGGCATGCCCCCAGAAGGCACAGGACTCAATCTTCCTCCTACCCATGCTCCTATGATTCATCAGGTAGCAGTGTCAAGGGGTCCCTTCGCTGATCTATGCCATGTTAACTTCCAAAATTCTGAACTAAATAAGCTAGCTTGCCTCTGTTGTTGTGTTATAGTAAGGAAAAACAGACCAATACAAGGACTTACTTATTTCTATTTGTTAACTTTTATGCTGCCATGATGTCTCCACTCTGAAAGAATTTATCCAAGCTAGCTATTGTCACAATGATGTTACCTAGCTAGCAACGAATATTAGAGATGTTCAAAAATCCCCCCACCACACACACATATCTGTAGACATCTAATGGCTATCAGACTTAATCACACGCTTTGGGGGAGCTGGGTAAGTTGGGCTTTGGATGGCTTTATTTCACATGAGACTCCCTGTAAGTCTGGTCCTCGGGTGTAGGCTGGGGGTTCACTTTGTGATTAACTGAGAAAAGAGGACTTTCCCTGGGGAGGTCTTCTTATTGCCAATGTGGAAACACACAAACCAAGCTCTACTGTATAAGTGCATTTCAGGGTTCTGCTTGGGTTACATCTGCTAACATGTCACTGGCCAAAGTGAGTCACATGGGCAACCCTAGATTTAAGGGCTTCTCATTGTAAGGTATGCCACTTTCCAGGCCTACACCAGGACACTTAAATGATGGACTCCTCTCACAGATGTAGGAAGGAATAAAATGGTGACTGTCTGAGCTGTGATGTCTTATAGGAACCTTCCCCCATCTAGTCCCAACAAGGACACGCAGAGCTTAAGGATTCACTTCTGAGCTTCTGACTCAAGGGAAATATTTGTTTCAGGTCCTAGCAAGTCCAGTTGTTTCTCTTTGTCACTGGGACACCCCAGCCTCCATCTTGTGGCAGACAAGATCACAATAAACAGCTAGAGCTGCACAGGTAGATCGTTTTGCTCAAATTACTTAAATTCCACAGACAGAAGTCAGAATACAGGAGAATAAATCAAATCCACTGGGGCCAGGGAAAACCACACCTGCCTGCTGCATGAACCTCACTCCCCCTATACCCTACCCTACCTGTGTGGCTCTGCTCCTCTGTTTCTAGTGCCCAGCTGTTTCTCACGATTTGCCTTCATCCTACCTCTGAGACCTCTCCAGGACACACAGGATAGCTCTGCTTGGGTGACCTCTGCAAGAAGGCTCACTAGCAGTCACTCACTCTTTCTCTCAGGCTTCTTTCTGCTATGGACCAATCTCAGGGCACCTATTTCCCTCTGGCTGCCAGTCCATCTGGTCATAGGCCTCTCTGATAGCACTCTTGCTTTCCAACACACACACACACACACACACACACACACACACACACACACACACACACGCACCACTTTTGGCTTTGGCCAAGAGCTATAGTCACCCAGGCTACACACTGGCCACTCTGGCAGCCAAGCTGCTGGACCTGACGGATGTCACGCAGCTGCCCTTGGGGCCTCTCCCGGATCTGTTCTCTAGAAGAGAGATTTATTTCCCTGATGTTTTAGGACAGGAAAAGACTGGTTTCTTGGAGGCTTGCCAGGAAGGGGGTGATCCACCCAGGAAATAAACAAGACCCCTTCCTCTCTCTCGGCCTTTCGTCTTTCCTGCTTCCCCGTGTCAGGTCCTCCCAGGGCAGCTCCCCCTGAGTGGAAGGAAAGCTGTCAGGATGAAAGGGCCTTGCTTGTGATGAGCAGCTGCTGGCAGGACCCACGCAGGCAGACCCAGCAGAAACTTAACTCCTTGTTCCCAGTCAGCCGGGGAAAGACTACATCCAGACTTCGGAAGTCACAGCTCTGGATGAAGCAGCTTTGTGTGAACAGAGAGCCATGCTGCCAGACTCAAAAGACCACAGAGTTTCCCCTGAGCAGCCGCTCACCTCCTCCCCCTGCACAATAGATGACCTAATAGGTCCACTCCAGGAAGTGAAAGGTTCAGACCTCTGGTGGTACCACTCTGTGTGTGTACCACTCCCTAGCTGGGAGATCCTGAACAGCCTGGCTGCAGCTCTATTTCCTCATCTGTAAAGAGAGATAAAGATGACAGGCATCTGTTGGTGGTGTGCAGAGACCTAAATGGCATCAGGCCAGTGTCTGGAATAGCATCCCAGAGCTGCCTTGGTTTGTATGGTCATTTCCATCATCACTAGGAAGACGCAGGCAATTGCTCCTGTAAAGACATATGTTACAGATATGTTTCTGTACAGTCAGAAATCCCACAGGCTGGGTTTCTCTAAGGCTTCGGGTTCCATCAAATTAGCGCAGGAATGAATCTTTATCATGTTTTCCAATGAGACAAGAATGTGACCATTTTCCTAAAGGAAAAACAAGGCACAGCCCAAACAGTCAGATGGGCAGAACTGGGCACAATTATGCACCCGGGTCAGCCCCAGGCCTTACTGACAACATCTACTGAAGGCCCTGGCTCCATCTTATAACAAGGAACAGGATAAGGGTATCAACACATAGGCAAAGCTAATCTATACACTGATAACTGTACATTAGTTGTAGGTGCTACAAAAACACAAAGAGTATCTGAGAAAAACAACTTTACAGGAGAACAGTTTCCTTCCAGCTTACAGTTCAAGACTTTAGTCCTGTGGTCACCTAGTCCCAGTGTCTATTGGCTGTAGTGAGATAGAACACAGGATGGCCATTTCTGATTACCAACTTGACAGGATTAAGAAACCCCTAGAGTACGTATCTTGGAACATATCTGTGAGACATTTCTTGGAGAGGACTGACCAAGAGCACACGACCTTCCCTGAGTGTAGGAAAGACCATCCCCTGATATGGGAACTTGATCTGAATAAAAATGGGAAAAAAGAAAACCTCTGGGTCCCCATTATCCCCTCTTCTCTTCTTCCTGGTCCACTGAGATGAGAGCCAGCAGCCTCATGTTCCCACTGCCAGTCTGCAAACCACTCCCACTACCAATCTGCAAGCCACGCCCACTGCCAGTCTGCAAGCCTCGCCCACTGCCATGTCTGCAAGCCACGCCCACTACCAGTCTGCAAGCCACGCCCACTGTCATGCCTTCCTGCCTGTGACAAACTATACCCTCAAACCATGAGCCAAAACAAATCCTTCCTCTCTCAAACCGTTTCTTGTCAGTATTTGGCCACAAAGCAACAGGAAAAGCAATTAATAAGCAGCATCATGGAGGAAAGGGGTGGGGTGGGGTGGGGCAGAGCTACTGACCTCATCACAGCTGGGTAACAACATGTGTGTCAGGGCGAGATAAACTGGTCAAATGCATCATCCCAACTCACCACTTACAGCCAGGACACACCTCCCAACAACACATTCAGCTATGAAATCGTCAGTAGAATGGTCTATTGATGTGGTTGGTACCTTCATTATTCAACCACTTCTCGGCAATTCCACCAGCCTCAAGACCTGAGACTTTGGGGGACATTTGTATCACTTGGAGTTCTCTATAGGAACAGAGTCAACACAATGAACATATATTAAGAGGGAAATCCATTACCATGGCTTACATGATAGGAGCTGAGTGATTAGCCACGGCTGTCTTCACACTGGAAAGACTAGGAACCAGATAGCAGCTCAGTCCGTGAGGCTGGATGCCCCCACAGTCCCAAACTGGCACAGAAGGCCTAGAGGATTCCAGGAGAGCCACTTGTCGTTAGTAGACGTTGGAGGACTAAAGAAGCAAAGGATAGCAGCAACAGCAGGGTGGATGTATTCACCAGCAAGAAGCAAAGGCAAGCAAGGAAAGCAGCCTCCTTGTCTCTTCTGCCAGTGATAAAGGAAATGACTCCTTTGATGGGGGGCGGGACCAGCTTCACGAGTTCCTGAGGCATGCTGGCTTTTGTCTAACTTCTTACTACCCGAATTTGGGGAGATGGAGTATCCTTTGGACCTGATTGGGAGTGGGGCATAGCATTGTCCATGCATTGTTTACCCTAAATTTATGATTATTTCTTCTTGATGGTTAAAAGTCATCCAATTGAAAGAATTTTCTACTGATAATGCCAGAGAATCCATGGCAATATTCAGCATGGACATATTTTATGGACACTGTAGGGCCTCTAAATACCTTCCTATTAACGAGATCAAGTATTGGGATTTTATTGGTTTGGATTACAGAACATTTTTAACATATTTCCACCAAGTAACTTTGAGATGTCTCCTCAATAACAAAGATTATTAATGAAAGGTTACCTGGAACAAAAGCATTTATTCAATGAGGACACACTTTCTGAAGAATACCACATACTTCATAGATGACATTGTTTGTTGTTTTGAACTAGGTGTTTTTTTTTTATCACTGCTTTGAAACACTTCACTTATAAAACTTGGCATCCTACCTCAAATAAAACTGGCAATTTCCCTCAGAAATGTAAGAACTTTAGAGAAAGTCACATGTATTAAAATAACTCCAGCAGTGAGAAAAGCTACATTTTCTGTACTTACAGAAATATCAAACCATGCCTGTTTCATTTCTCCTGTTTCTAGACTGCTGATACAAGGAGCTAAATGCAGGCACACTTTTTAAAGTTGAAGTTTTAGCAACAGAACTCAAGTGTCCCAGAGACCAGGTAAGTAACTTCAGAATGTCGACACCCTTAGTGTCACCCAAATGAAAGAATAAGGAGCCAAGCTTTCACACTTGGTGGGAAAGTTCTAATGTGAGTGGCTAAAGGATTAAGGATGAAAGAAAACTGATGTAAAATTCTGAAGAGATTGGGACTCAAAAAAAAAAAAAAAAGAAAGAAAGAAATCCATTCATAATGACTATAGAAGTGTTCACTCTTATGTCTCTCTAGGGACCAGAAAAGAAGCAGTAGCAGAGATTAATAATACAGTAACCTCAGAATAGTTTCCAGGAGAGATATTTGTTCTGGTTTCCTTTTGAAGGTTGTCTTCACAGGTCAGTTAGAGGGTTGTCCTGGCTAGTTTTATGTTAACTTGCCCCAACCTAGAGTCATTCGAGGAAAGGGAGCATCAGTTGAGAAAATATCTCCCTAAGACTCAGCTGTAAGACATTTTCTTAATTAGCAGCTGATGGGGGAAAGACCAGCCAATTGTGGATGGTTTCATCCCTGGGCTGGTGGTCCAGTGTCTGTAAGAAAACAGGATGAGCAAGCCAGGGGAAGCAAACCAGTAAACTGCACCCCCTTCATGACCTCTGCATCAGCTCCTGCCTCCAGTTTCCTGCCCTGTTTGAGTTCCTGTCCTGATTTCTTTCAGTGATAAACAGTAATTGGAAGTGTAAGCCAAATAAACCCTTTCCTCCCCAAGTTGCTTTTATCATGGTGTTTCATCAAAGCAATGAAACCGCTGACTAGGACAGAGGTATCTAGCATAGAGCACTAGTCCAAAGTCTACAAACTCATCTAAAGCAAAGATCTCCTTTTATTTGAACAGCCACTCACTCTCAACACACTGGAACCCAGAATTGAAGAGGCTACTCTTTTTCAGGCTCAATAAGCAATCTTAAGGATTTTAAAGTAAATATGGGTTTGAAGATAGCAGAATAATTTACTTTTCACTTCTTCTTCCATTCAAAACTTATCCTGAAACAAAAAGAACAAACAGAAGACCACAGAGTCTATATTGGAAGGCATGTGTAAGCTCAACAGACAATGCAGGTACAAAGAAGCAAAGGTAGGAGTAAGGATAAGTGGGGCTGGCAGGGAGAGAAGAGAAATAAAAGGTGAACAAGGAAGAGAGCAATGCGGAGGGGAGGGAGAACAGGAGGAAGTCAGGGACCAGTCACCCAGACAGCCATGGAGTAAAAAGGATGGTGAGATATGCAGAAGTAATAAAGATAAAAGCCCAGAGGGAAAAGGTAACTGGGTTAAAGTTAAGAAAAGGTGGCTAGCAACAAGTCAAGCTATGGCCGGACATTCGTAACTAAGAATAAGACTCCATGTGTGATTTATGTGGGAGCTGGGTGCTGGGCACCCCCAAAAAAGCCAAAAGAGTAAAACCTAGAACAGCACAAGGGAGATGAGACTCTGGGCATGCCTGTGAGGATTATGTTGATTACGTTAATTGGCTGGAAGACCTATCTTAATTTTGGGTTGGACCATTCCCTGGGAAGAGGATCCTTAACTATTTAAAATGGAGAGAGTGAACGGAGTACCAGTTTGTATTCAGTGCAACATAATGTATATTAGGCAAGATTTCCTTGAAAACATAGAATTGAATAATTCTAATGAAAATGAGTGCTATAAGAAGCACACATACAGAGAGAAAGGAGGCTATATACAAAGGAACAGAATAAAGATAACCAGAAAGGAAAGAATAGTATGAAAAGTACAGAGAGAAAATGATCAAATAAGAATTACATATTAGCAATAAAAGTTGCTTTTAAGAATGAGAATAAATTAATGTATCTTTCATATAAGAAAGAACAATAAAAAGAAAATAGAGAATTTATCCATGTCTCAGTTAGGGTTTCTATTGATTACTATGAAGAGACACCATGACCATGAACTCTTTGTTTTTGTTTTTTGTTTTTTGAGAGAGGGTTTTTCTGTGACTTTGGAGGCTGTTCTGGAACTAGCTCTTGTAGACCAGGATGGTCTCAAATTCACAGAGATCTGCCTGCCTGTGCCTCCCAAGTGCTGGGATTAAAGGCTTGAGCCACCACCACCCAGCTCACTGCAACTCTTATAACGAAAAGTGTTTAATTGGGGATAGCTTACAGTTCAGAGGTTTAGCCCATTATCATCTTGGGGAGAAGCATGACAGTGTGGAGGCAGACACAGTGCTGAAGACATGCTGAGAGTTCTACATTCAGACTGGCAGACAGCAGAAAGAGAGAGACACTGGGCCTGGCTTGAGCATCTGAAACCTCAAAACCTACCTACCCACAATGACATACTTCCTCCAACAAGGCCAGACCTCCTAATGGGCCATTCCCTATGGGCCTATAGGGGTCATTTTCTTCAAACCACCACAGTCTTCAAGAAGTTGTGGACCAAAGAAATTTTCAAAATAAATAATAAATAAATGAGTCAGGATTAAGAAGAAAGCCTATGGGGGGGGATGTATAAGAAACAAAGGAATTAATGAACATCGAAATTAGTGAACATGTAGAATATGCCATCATTGTCTCTCTGTGCAATCAGTATAATTAATAATACTCATGCTTTAGGATAAGGAAATCAGAAGAACTCAAATTTCATAAGTAGATTAGCTGTGGGGAAGACAGTCAGTGTCAAAGCACTTAGATTGTAAAGTCATTCAGATCTGAAATGTTAGGTATTAGTCATTCATGGTAAATTCCAAGGGAGAGGTCATGACTTCCAGATTAAAGAGAAAAGGAAGTAAAACAAAATCATCTTTGAAAAAGAAAAAACAGGTATCAAAAGAGCAAAAAAAAGAAAGGTATGAAATAAAATGGTGAAGGCAAATAACAATTGCACAAATAATCCATATATGTGTAATCCATCCATAAACACACACACACTTACATAGTAAAGTTCAATGCAAAAGATGAATTAAAAATGCCTATATATGATCATGGATTAGAAAAATTAGCATTTCTTAAATGTCCAAACTACTCAAAGAAATCTATACCTTCAATATCATCTCTATTAAAATTACACTAAGGATTTTCAAACCTCAATCAAAACTACAATGGCATTTTTAAAGAAATAGCAAAAAAAATTCCTAAAATTCATATGGATCCACAAAATTAGCAAAGCAGTCTGAGCAAAAAGAACAAAGATGGAAACACTGAACACTAAACATTAATATATCCTACAGGTATTAGAAGTAGTTAGTGTACTGCATGTCAAAACAACATTGTACTGGCATTAAAACAGACATTTAACCCATGGAATGGGTCAACAGCTCACAGTAAGCACACATACTTAGGGTCAATTATTTTTAGATAATGTTATGGTAAATCAAAGTCTTTCAACAAATGATGGTCAGTGATGAATATCCACATGGAGAAGATTGAAACTGATCTGATAACATTTGACATGATATAAAAAGCTGAGGCAAGAAAAACAAAAATAGACAGAGGATATTTGCATCAAATTAATTCATTTCTGCACAGTAAAGAAAACTCTCAAGGTCAGTGTTAGAGGCCAACACCTTTAATCCTAGCACTTGGGAGGCAGAGGCAGGTGGATCTCTAAGAATTCCAGGCCAGACTGGTCTATAGAGTGAGTTCCAGGACAGCCAGGGCTACATAGAGAAACCCTGTTTCAAAAAACAAAAAAACAACACACAAGATGATCAAAAAGCAACTTATAGAATGGTGAAGAATATGTACAAACTACAATTTCCATGAGGAATTATTACCCAAAATAAACAAGACACTCAACTTAATAAAAAGAAACCAATGGTCACTCTGGCTTTCATAGGGAGACTTTCTCAAAACAATCAAGAAAAAAATGCAAAAGACAGGAATACACATTCCCAAGAGAAGATGTATAAAGAGTGAATGGATGAGTGAATTAATCCCTTGATCTCAGGGGCTAGAAATATGGCTTTGCAGTTAAAAGAACTTGCTACTTTTGCAGAGAACCTGGGTTTGTTCTCAGCACTCAGATGGTGGTGGCTCAGTTCCAAGGGACCTGACACCCAATTGTGGCCTCTGTGGGAACTGCATGCATAGTACGTTGACATATATGCAGGCACATAAAAAATAAATCATTAAAACAAATGTGTTGCACATTGGTACTCTTTAGAGAAATCAAAGTGAAAACTACTAAAATGATTATTATCCAAAAAGGTAAAAGACAGAAATCATCAATGAAGATGAATAAA